CAAGTAGAGCAAAATCTTCTTTGTAACCGAATGCTTGATGAGCTGTTTCCGATTGAACTGTTAAATATCCAGTATCCCTATCATAAAAATCGATTTCTATTGTACAATACAATTGATCGACATTCTTTTTGGTGCAGTTAGACGGCGTTGTTATGTTTGAAGCTGTTACTGTCATTTTATCACATTGATAACAAATTAAGCTTGAACCAAATTCAATTATTAGAAAAAAGAAAAGAAAACTTAAGCTATGTGAAAATATCATGATAGAACTAAAATCAAGGAAGAAGAAAACTTTTCCTGATCGACTCTTTCAATTTTTGTCACCGTGTTCTTATTTAAAAGGCTGATGTTTTTTTTTAAATACCTTTTTGTAACGCTTCGTCATATGCTGCATCATTCTCAGTCATGATAAGAGATGTAAGTCGATAAACAATGACAACAAAGTTTTACGCACCTTTTCGTTTTGTCTATTTATATCACCCATCGTAAGGTGTGCTAATTCAAAAGTCAGCAACAGTGTTGACCTGACTTAGATCATTGTTCTATGAGTTGTTCATCAATATGAAGAAATATATTCTTTTTTTTGCGATTTATTTTCCCGCCAACCCTTAGGGTCCTACAGGGACAGTTCTCTACTAATATCAAATGTGATGTATAAAGAAAAAGAGAAGAAAAATATGAAGGAAATGAGAAACAAAAACAAAAACAAAGCAGTGTATATGAATATATAGTACTTTGATATACTACAGAAGGAGCGAGTTACAAAGAAACAGGTGATAAAGAGGAAAAGAACGACATGACCAGTTCAATACATCTTGAGTTTTGATCCTAAAAGGATTCAGGAAATTCGGCTAGGCATCTAATATCTTCGTTGTCGAATATGACAATCGAGTCCGCTGAGCCATGGTTTGAAATCCATTCCATCGCACGACTGAATACGTCAATATGTTGGACAAAACGGACAGATCGTCTTAGACATCGAATAGGGCGATTACCACCTCTCCAGGCAAGTCTGTGTTCGTTCAGATACATTTGTTCAATCAGGAGAAACCCGCCTAAAGAGTGACTCAGGGCTTTCAAGTACTTCATCCAGTAAGCATAGCAGTTATCGTGGAATGATCGTTAATCGAATGCATATGCGAATAGATGGTTGTTCCATTGCGAGCATCTTAGTGTTCGTTTCAGGACAGTATAATATATTTTTTGGAGTCAACACTTTATTTGTAATTAAAAAACCAGTTTCCAGGAAAGAAAAAAAACACAGAATGAAAGGAGAGCGAAAGAAGAAACAGACAACGGACAGACTGGTTATAAAGCTGGCAGGAGAGAGAAGAGACGCATGACTTATGTCTTATATCTCGTAGAGAAAAGAGAAGAAAAATACAGTTTGAAAGGTTGCGGTGTTGGAGGGTAGTGTAGTGGTAGTTATCTTCGAAGAAACGTCGACGTATATGTGCTGAAACGAGCCGATGGATACGTCGATAATCGTCTTTTCTCCGTTTTCGATCAAACGTTTTGTACGTGATTCCGATATAACAATTTTCGTACAGATTCGACCGACCTAAGAATGATCTATGTTCTCGACGCTAACGTTAATAGTGGAGTGTGTTGTCGGAGAAGTAGTCAGTGTCAGTAGTCATTTGTCGTAGATCTGCTGTCGACATGAGAGACGACGCAGATTGTCCTATAGCATTGGAGCTGATGTTTTGTCATACTTGGTCTGCGATGTCTTGAAGGTGTTGGAGGAGCGTTTGATCTTTGTTTGATAAGGCTGTGTTAATGGACTTGTAGAGCAGAGATGTTGCATATTCTTTGATTTTAAGTATTTTGGATATCCAATGTACATATTCGACAGAAGTATAGATCGGCAGGCCGAGAGTAGCGCGAAGCGCTTTGTTTTGGATGATTTGAAGCCGATCCCATACTTTGTCGTTTGCTTTTAGTAAAACTGGATATCCATATGTCATCACTGGTCTTGCAATTGCTTTGAAGATGTTTATCATCTAGTGGCGGCGCCAAGGGGGAGGGGGGGCTGAGCCCCCCAGAATTTTTTTTAGCTCTTATAAACTTTTGAAAAAAGTTTTAAAGCAATTGTTGATTATTATACGGAAGAATTGTGTCGAGTCAGGGCAGTTTCAGACAGAACAGTTTTATTAGGCTTTTCCATTGGCTGCTTAAATAATCCACTCCAGTTGAAGTTACTGTATTTTCTTTTTCCTTCATGAAAAACTAGCTAGAAATTTAAAGATGAATTCCGAGAAGCGCCAGGCTATTGATTCCTACTTCATTTCTTCTAATAAAAAATCGCGCACTGATGAACAACAAACAGATTCAACTATGGTTATTCCTTCCTCACTGTCGATACCCGAATTTCAACAGCCTACCACTGCCACCGCTGTTTCATGTTCCAAAGATCAAACAACTTCTGATTCTATTTCTGACACATCGTCTTCGTCTCTCGCCAACTCCGTTGGTTTAAACGAGAGCTTCGAAGCAACATCTATTCCAAATGATATTAGTAAATCATCATTCGATCCTCCGGCTCAACCAAAACTAGGAACTTATCCAGTCAATCAACAAAAACGATCCTTTCAATCTGCTTGGTATACTGATAGACAATGGCTGGAATATTCTGTTGAAAATAATTCATGTTTCTGTTACTATTGTCGACATTTTTCTTGGAATAAATTAG